CAAACAACTATATTCAAATTTCTAGATTCAATTTTTTTGTATATGCTTTTAATTTATTCGTTATTATTGTACACGTTTTATATTAAAATATGTACTCGGCATTTTTGTTAATGTTCAACGCGATGTAATGACATTAATGCAATTATCTTCCTCTGATCGGTTCAACTTCTCTGGTCATAAATGAACTTTTACCATTTGGTACGTTGTTTGACTTTTACTATTTATTTTATCGATCAACCTCTCCGCTTATTTTACTATTTAATTTTTGTTAACGTGCTGTATATATTGAGTGACGTATCTGCCGCTTTCTGTTATTCAAATAAATGCATTTAATTTATTAAGCAATTGCAATGGAATTAATAAAAAATGTTTTTATCGGACATTTCGTTTTGTTTAAATATTAATTATGAAATTGATATGCGTAATTTTCTTATATTTAATAAAATAATTGAATTACCTCGTCCGTTAATTATTCAAATTTTGTTGATTTTATTAGATAATAAATTGTATTTTAAGATGTGTAAATTCATTATAGGTACTGGTAGGAGAAACGGCATATCCAGGTCTTCGTGGATTTCTGGTTGTTGGCTCGTTTGCCTCATACTGTGCCGGTATCCTGCTGGTTTATGCTCTCGGCGCTTCTTTTAATTGGGACGTCGTGGCCTTCTATGCTATTATACTACCTATTGCGGCCTTTATTGCTCTATGTTTGGTGCCCGAAAGTCCTGCCTGGCTTGTTAGGCGGAAAAAAATTAATGAAGCCAAGAAAGCTCTTTTATGGCTCCGAGGGGGTAATGTCGAACAGGTGAAAACTCATAAATTTTTGGAAAATTTTCAAGAACATAATAAACTTTTTGTCAAATTAAAGTCTAATAGTGTTCTAATAGTGTTCTAATAGTGTATCTAATAGTGATACAAACAATTGAAACTGTTTTAATTAATCAGATGAACGAGGAGATAGAGCTCTTAAGCGTAAGCATGAAAGTCAATCTCACTAGAACGCCTGTAGATACTTCGTTCAAGAAGAAAATCTCCGCGGCGATATCTACAATTCGAGATCCAGGCGTGCTGAAACCATTGATCATTATTAACGTGTTTAACACACTTCAATTGAGCAGCGGAACATATGTTATCGTTTTTTATGCCGTTGATATGGTCAAGGACATAGGTGAGAAATTATATTTTAAAACCTTTGGTGAAATTTTAATTTTTATCTATATGTAATCTTTAAAGTAAAGAAAATCTTTGAAATAAATAAAGAAGGGAGAGATAGAAATTTTAAATCGTATCGTTTCTTTCATCGTAGGCGGCGGCAACGTAGATAATTATTTGGCGGCTGTGGTAACAGCGGTTATCAGATTTATTTTTTCCCTCGTCTCCTGTGTTTTGTTACTTAAAATGGGCAGGCGAGTCTTAGGCATTGTTTCAGCACTCGGCACAGCTTTAGCTTCATTGATCCTCGCGGGATACATGATTGCCAGGCAGGAAGGGTCTTCCGTAGATGTGAGTATTCCGATTTGTTTTGTTTTTTAATTTTAATAAGCCAATACATTGATAAATTTTAATGATTCCAGGCCTATGTACTGGCTGTATGCTTGTTGTTTTATGTTGGTGCAAATACCGTGGGCTTACTAACACTTCCTGGATTGATGACCGGCGAACTGATGCCTTTAAGAGCTCGAGGCATTGGTGGCGGATGCATCTTCTTTATTTTTAATCTACTTTTGTTCTTTATTACTAAATGTTTCCCATGGGTAAAATATCATATTAATATATATTATATTTTTTTATATTTATTATATAAGATTTGAAAGTTAATGACGACAGTTCAACGTACGAGATAAGAATTTTAACAAGAATATACTTATTTGTTTTTAGTATATATGTATATGTAATTTTGTCGTAATACTATATAATAGTAGGTATATTAAATTCTTTACTAATTATCTATTATTTTATTTATAGTTAAATAGTGCAGTTGGCACAACGGGAATCTTCATTATCTTTGGTGTTTTCGCTCTTTTAGAAGCTATCTTTATTTATCTTGCTCTACCAGAAACAAAAGATTGTTCGCTTCAAGAAATTGAGGATTACTTTCAAGTAAGAAAATTTAATTAAATGGAATGAGTCTGTTAGTAGTAATAATACGCTGAATGCATAACTGCGGTTTTAGGAAAGTAATATCCTATGGATAACCAGAACAAAAGCGAAGAGAAGAGATACAAATGTACCTGTGAAAGAAGAACCTATTTCTTTCATTCCTCTACGTGAATGAAAATAAAAATAAGTCTAGAATTTATACATGGCTGCGATAATATTTAATTTATAAGATATAATTGTACATTTTTAATAATTTAAGGTATTTCTGTAAAAATATTACACATATCAAATATTGTGGAAATATGTGCGATTAGTTGTGCTAATGAAAATTGCGGAACAGTGATTATATACGTTCTTTATATTTGTAAGACAAGAATTTTATTTAAATTTTATTATTAATATTTGAATAAAATAAAAAATTTCACGGATAAATTTTTTTTATATTATATTTTTATATTCCAATTAATTATAATTTAATTAATTAATTATAATTACCTAATAAATTAAATATTTCATTAGAAATGGTGTAAATAATGTATTAATACTGAAATACATAATATATAAGCCTGCATGCAGGTTTTTATTCATTATTTTTACAGATATGGTTTTGACAACAATATTTATTATAATTTGTCATTATTGATTTTCATATGTAATACTTTGAACACGACGCTGGAATAAAGCGTTATTATTTTTTTTCGACTGTTTTTCTCTCTTTGTGTAACTGTAATTACTATATAATATTTTTTGTATTTTATATTTATTAATATATTTACTTTTTTCGATATAGCTTTCTTTATATATTATATATTATAAAGTTCTAACGTGATTGACAAGTTTATTAATTCTTCATAATATAACTAATAAAAATGAAGAATGAAAAATATTAATGACATTAAATTAAATTAAATTTTAAAAATAAAATTATTTAATAAAACCAGAAAAGAGACCTACAATATTTTAAACTTTATCTTTCTATCTTTATCTATCTTTTGTAAATTTCTAGTCATCTTTTCACGAATTTCTAAAACGATAACTGCAACATATTTAGAGAGTATTCTATTGTGGTATTATACACATTGATGTATGTTAATCATGGATATTATTTATCAATGTTAACAAGAAGAATATAAGTTCTCATACCTACCTAGAACAATCGCATAAACATGAACAATCGATTCACGTAATATTGTTATGTGCCAAACAACTGCCAAACTTTTGCGCGATGATGGATTTCAATATGTATGTAGGTATGTTATGATCCCATTTAAGCATGAGGATTGCGGAATTTCTCCCCTGCGTATTTCGCAGCCGCGCCAAGTTCCTCCTCAATACGCAGGATCTGATTATACTTGGCCAAACGTTCCGAACGGCAAGGCGCCCCGGTCTTAATCTGACCGGTCGAGAGACCAACGACCAAATCAGCGATAAACGTGTCCTCCGTCTCTCCAGAACGATGAGAAACCATGGTACCCCAACCGTTACTCTTAGCGAGCTTGTGAGCGTTGATGGATTCGGTCACGCTACCAATTTGATTGACTTTTAACAACAGACAGTTGCAAGCTTTCTTCTCAATAGCTGTCTTAATCCTATGAAATAATAATGTACAATAAAATATATGGTAAACATAAGTAATAAGTTAATTTATAACAAGAACATAAGACTGTTATTTCATATATCACCTCTCAGGATTCGTAACAGTAAGATCGTCACCGACGATCTGAATGGGGGTAGCTGCAGTCATGGATGTCCAAGAATCCCAGCCGTCTTGGTCAAATGGATCCTCAATTGATACAATTGGGAATTCTTTGATAAATTCCAAATATAAATTTTTCAACGCTTCTGGTTCCAGGTATGCGTTTGGATCAGAATTTTCATTTTTGAAGTCTAAATCATATTTTCCATTTTTATGGAATTCGGAGGCGGCAACATCCATGCCAATTTTAATCTTTCCTTCATAGCCAGCAGTCTAGAAATTCAGGACAAGTTTTTGCAAATTTATAAATGTTATAAAACAACGAATATTCGATATAAATCTTTTAATTTACCTTAATTGCATTCATGATCAAGTTAAGAGCTTCCTTGTTTTCCAAAATGTTTGGTGCAAAGCCACCTTCGTCACCGACCGCCGTGGCATCGAGGCCAAACTTCTTCTTGATACCAGCCTTCAAGTGATGATAGACTTCGCTGCCCATTTTCATCGCTTCTGTAAAATTGGATGCACCAGTAGGTAAGATCATGAATTCTTGCATAGCTAACTTATTGCCAGCATGAGAACCACCATTGATGACATTAAGTGCTGGTACTGGCAACACGATGTCGTTATTACCAGCCAACTCGGCAATATATCTGTAATACGAATGTATGTGTTTTTATATGGAATTAGATATTTAAATATTTGTTTTTAGAGAAAGAATGTATAGAAAAACAATTTTACTTTAAAGAAAAATGTTTAATCTTAAAGCACAAAAATATGCTTTTTTTAATTTTTTTGAAGAAAATATTTGAATCCTAAATATTTATTAATAATATGCGATTATACATACGTGTATAAAAATAATTTTTAAGTAGAAAGTAAACTTGACAATCAATTTGTATCTAATATATTTACTTGTATAGAGGTAAGCCCTTTTTTTGAGCACCAGCCTTACAAACAGCCAAAGAAACACCCAAAATTGCATTTGCTCCAAGTTTGGATTTGTTTGGTGTGCCGTCCAATTTCAGCATCAAATTATCTATGTCCGTCTGTTGTGTTTCATCTAAATTGGCCTTGATAATAAATCAATTATTAATTATTCAATTGTTTTTAATTGATAAATCTAAAAAATTATGGCGTGTATGTATCATTATGTGGAAAGTGATACCTTTAACAGTTCAGGTCCAATGATGGAGTTTACATTTTCAATGGCTTTAAAGACAGACTTCCCATGATATTTCGATTTATCATTGTCTCTCAGTTCCAAGGCTTCGTGCACGCCAGTAGATGCACCAGATGGTACAGCTGCACGGAAGACTCCAAGCTCAGTAACAAGATCAACCTAAAAGAGCAAATAATATTAATAAAAGAATGTTCAGTGAAATATGTCAAACGCTCGTTTCTGAAATACAATAAGTTACCTCTATTGTCGGGTTTCCACGAGAATCGTAGATCTGACGAGCCTTGATGCTTTTTATGGGCATTTTGACGTAACTGCTTATTGAAGTGAAACGCCTTATTGGAATTAAAAAACTGTAAGAAAACAGTGCAAGAAAATTGTATAAATAAAACATATATTTTTAAAGAATAATAAATTTGTCATAATAAAAAGATATAAATATAAACAAAATTATGGATTAGCGATTGTAACTAACAATCTTCGAGGAAAAAAAGATAATTCTTAATTAAGAATTTTGCATCATATTGTAACATTTATCGCAAAATAAATGACATTACGTAAATTACGGAATATAAACTTAAAAAATAATTATATAAAATTGTATCTTGTAAATTTTTAAATTGTATTATTATTAAATTGACAGAATAATCACTAAACGTCAATAATTACGGCGGATATCCGCTGAGTCGCGCATTGACCTTGTCAAGGGCATTGCACGATCTGCTCGGTATCTAAGGAGACCGATATTCAGAAAAAAGAAAATGTTCAGTTTGCATTGAGTACCGTTACACGTCAAAGAGTCTCACTGTTAGAAAAATTATAACTATTAACAATCTTATGACAAAGTTTCAATGCGAGATGATGGACCCGGCATATTAGCATTTCATCCAAATCTTCAATCGTGCAATATTCATCCGGACGAATTTAACAGAAACGTTATTTCACGAGGAAGAATTACGATTTTTTGACAATTATGTCTAACGTTGCTCCGAAAATGTGCTCACCTAACGTGACAATCCGCACGAAACGTTTGACGAGGAATGAGACTTGACCTAACGGACGACCTCCTCAGACGTGATGCAAGTCGAGCGCTATCGATTGTAGAATGTACGCGAGATATTAGGTTAACAGAGGAAAGAAAGGAAAAAAAGCTCATCTCTTCCTAAAATTGAAATAATTATTTGAAGAAATAATTATCTTCAATTTTTAATTATTTAGTTTTTTTCTCGTTATCTCGTTATCGTAGAATGGAAATCATTTTTACACTATCGTAACTCCGATTATGATTAACAAATTCATTTCTTGTCCTATTCCATTGAATTTGATATGCTCATGAGCCAATGGTTGAGCTGCTTTTGGATAATGTTCGAAACCGTCGGTTGAATCTACAGATATGAACCAATCAATTTGAAAGATAATTTTTAAAATATGATTTTAAATTATTTTGAATGAGAATAGAATTTTTATTTATTTTGTTATCATCCAGTTTGCTTTTTTTTATACCGTATTACTTTTTAAATGATGAAAACACGCATTTAAATGTTAGAAAAAGATGATTCATTTTATTCACGATACACGTGAATATACTTATACGATTGTATTTTGGTTGGCAACACTAGGTCTATTCTTAGGTCTGTTCTTTTGTAGCTAAACTAATGTACACTTGTTGTA